CGTTGACGATTAACAGCAGCACCTTTAATCTTAAAGAACACGCTATGTTTCTCTATTTATTAAATTTGCAGCACAACTGTCAAAGTTCTGTAAAAACGGTGGAAGTTATTTATGATAGAAAGTCAAAGAAAATAACAGATTTGGACCACAGAACAGCCTAAGTTCTTACTTGTTTCTCTATTTATTAAATTTTCAGCACAACTGTTAAAACTCTTCAAAAGCGGTTGAAGTTACTTACTATATGATAAAAAGTCAAAGATAATTACCGATTTCGACCACAGATCAGCTTAAGTTCTTACTTGGAAAGAGCTCTGTTGTGCTTCCTATCTTTGAACCGTAAAAGAGTAAGTTTAAAAACAGAAAAAAATTCAAATGCACCATTTCCTCTTTTAAATGTTTTAAAAATATTTAAAAATGTATTAAATGGCGACCTTAGTTTCTTTTTTTTTTGTTGTCACTAAATTTATAATTTAGGAACTGACAACTTACTGCAACATGAAAATAATATTCTTTATTTAAATATCATATTTAAAGTGATTAATTTTTATGTAAAGCACATATACAAGCATGACTTGCAATATCAACTTTACATTAATTAAGAAAATCTCAGCTAAGCAGACAACAGTACTTCAGAAAACATGCTTAAGAAAATAAGTAAGTATGTTTGTATTTAAAAAAAGCAGAAAATAACAAAATGTTTCTTATTTTATTTACAGAATAGGCGCTTTTATATATTGAAGCAAAATATATAGTGTATATATGTATATATACGCGTATTAACAACAAACTTTTCAAGTTGTGTAAACAGTTGAATTAAAACCCCAAAAGTATGCTACACTTTTTAGCCCCGTTTTAATTTTGAATTATTTCGCGCACTTTTTAACCATTTTTAGTTCACAAATGCGTTGAAAATTAAAGCTCGAAATTGGCTTTATGCGCTCGCCGTCTACCCCCCTGCCTCCCCCCCCACACAGCCATATTACTTCGTCTAATCCAATAATCTGCACGCGCAATTTGAAACATGGCTAAGCTGATTAAATTTTGAGACGCTTACCAACTAAATGCTAATGCTGCGGCGGTTTTGATGGCAATGGAAATTCAGGTTGATGTTGATGAGATTCGCACGGCATGGCGAGTGCAGTGCAGCGTGTCGCGGTCAGTGGTCAGTGTAGAGTGACGTCATTGTCGTTAAATTACCTTGCAAATTGTAGAGCTCTTGATGTGTTTGCTATTTTTGTACAAAGCAGAAAAATGCGTGCGCCTTACCGGCAGACTACATCGTCCTGCTTAACATCTTTTTGCTGTGCTTGGGCGCCTTTAAACAGACTACTTTGGCTTTGTGGCATGCTACTTTGTAAGCTTGAATGAATCACGGTTTGAATTGTATAGCAGCAGAGCGAAAAGCTGCAAATGCTGTCAGCGACCACTTCCGGCTGCCATAGCTTCAGTATTTCTCTTATCGTTGGGCACGACATTTTCTATTCATGCTCGGCTCACACACAGGAAGGTGCTCGTAAAACCCATACATGCTTGCACAGACAGGATTCCGATAGAAAGGCGGACTAAGGAGACAGAAGGATAGAAGGAGCGGCCGACTTTGCAATGTAATTTTGTACTGTAAGTCGAAATTATTTTAATATCCTAAGCAATGCCATTGCATCGCTTCCTGCTCCACCACTTTCTGCGCCTTTTGTGCATTTGAAATGCCTGCAAATTAAAAGCAACAAATGCAGAAGCAAAGCTCCAGCTCTGGCTGCAGCCTCTTCAGTATAGTATATCTTTATATCTGCACTATGCCCCTTGCAAGTGTGCTTGAACTTTATCTCTCTCGTCGTCGTCGTCTATTCATGTGTCACCCAGACTCCGAAGCGATGTAAACTGCACTTTCATTTATTTATTTATGCTTATTGTGTAACTGTTCTTGCCCTTTATCTGCCTTTTGTGCACTCTATACACATTTATTATCGTTTGCATTCAACTTTGTCCGTTTTCCTTTGTTATTGCGTGCACATGATATGCCAAGGAATGTGAATAATATTTATATGGCTTTAATTAATACTCGTAGCTTATCAGGCAATGTTCGCTTTATCGTTATTCTTGTATTTTATAATCAAGAAATATAGTTAATAGAAGGGTTGCAAAAATGCTCCTATTAGGAATGCATGAGGGGAATGCAGATGTTATTAAGGCAAATAAATTGTGCTGAAATTTATTGTAATTATATTTCTCTTGTGAATAAAATACTTTGTGTTGAAAAACTCTAGTTATGGAGCTCATCACAAACTATTTATTTATTACTACTGAAAACTAGAAGGCTTCATTTGTAGCTTGGGAAAAAACGTAGGTAATAAAGGTATTAAATAGAAACAAAATATTCTTACTTAAATGAAATTATATTGTGAATATAATACTTTGTCTTCACAAACTCTAGTTATGGAGCTCAACAAAAACTATTTATATATTATTAATGGAAATAAGAAGACCTTTCCTTGTAATGGATATATTCTTCAATTCTAATATTTTCAATTTAGTTCATACTTTACTTATATTTGTGATTTTAAATGTAACTTTATTCGTTAATTAAATTGGGAATCATTCATTCAAACATGTACTATTGAGAATGTCGATTGTACCTCCACTATCTATTTCAGCAACAAGATATTAGTCACTTCTTACAGACCATTTGGGTGTGGGTCTCCTTTTTATTTGGTTGCCTTTTTAATAGGAATTCCTGTCTAATAGTCTTCTAAAACACATTTTATGTGAATCAAATTTATTTGCAACAGTCGCCTGCTTATTTTTGTTTGGAACTGCATCCTCAGTTTCCATTCGTGCTTGTCCAAGAAATTTCATTTAATTTTCATCAAATTCTCACATTTGCCCTTCCACTTTAAAGGAATGCTGCAGCATGTCAACTCATTACGCCCGACAGCACGTTTGCTGAATCCTTGCATTCCGTCTGAGCCCTACGTTCGTCCGTTTGTCCCTCTGTCCGTTTGACTGCCGCTTAATTCAATATGTGGCACCCGCCGTGTACTGGAATGGCGTTGACAACATGGACGACAGCTTGGACCATATTAATACATCAGAAAAAGGAACATTAAGAGGCCGAGCCGTAGCCGAGAGCCGGCGGTTTATCCGTTTCAACATGAATTCACATTTTCCCCATGTTGTTGCTGTTCTTCTTCTTTTTCGTTATTTTATCATTGTATCTGACTTGGTAATATCGCAACAATAATTTGATCGTTAAGATGCGTGGCGACCGCTCGCCTCTCATGCTGCTGGTCTGTCTGCTGGCCAACCTTTTTATGGTCTCGACGCTTTGTTCAAGTGCAATTAAATGCAATTTTTACGATTGTGCTGCAAATGCGCGACTGCAGCTCTCAGCTCAGCTCCGCTCAACTCAGTGCCACTCGATGTCTCGGTCTCTGCCTCCTTCTCGAACTATCTCTCAGCTGCATGCAATGCCCCTTTTAAGCTGCCTATTAAATGGCCCTGAGCCCTGCAGGCCGCGCATGGTAATGAAATTAACGGCACTCGTCGCAAGAAAAAGGACTATAAAACTGATTTTGAAGCACATTTTTGCGAACGAATATCAAATACTCTGTAAAAGACTTACAGATGGAACCGAAAAGCTTACATTTATGATACTCATATTAATTACTTGTATAAAAGTGCTATCTTTGCCATTAATTAATAAACATAATAAAAACAAAAAAGAAACCTATACTTCAGAAGCTGCCAAACATTAATTTCAAAGAAAGGAAATGAATTAATAAAATAAAACTGATCGCACGTAATTGTTAACAAGTGGATCCCATATGTGCTCCTGGCCTCCAAGGCAGTTCTAACTGGTTTTATCATTTCTAGGTCTTCCTTCAAATCTTACCCAACTATGTAAGTTACACAGACCTCGGCTCTTTTATTAGTCAGTGCTTAATGACGAAATGTTGAAGATACCTCTGGCTATAAATTCCATCAATATCTCAACAATATTGGACTCATAAAATATCATTTAAAGGTTTAATTAGCATTGTGAACTAGACTATGTGTATATTCTTCCCCTCTATACCCTCCTATGTCATCAGTTTTTCCGCCACCTTCAGTCACTGGCAGCCACAACCATTCTATCGTCTATCAGATGGGCTCTGTGCACCAGATGGATTCACCAAACTTCATCAATAAAAGATTCGTCTAAGAATCCATCTCGCCTGTGCTTTTTCGATCCGTTTTATTAGCATTAGCTTCCACGCCTCTTTTCACAATAGCTTTATCCATTGTGTTGTCCTCATCAACTTCCATCAATATTTCAGAAGTTTTATATTTTCGATTTCCTATCGGTTTTTTTCCTAGAGCTTGTATGTTGTCGATTTTAGCACCGATAGGATATGAACTCATCAATAGAGCTGATGAAACATCGATGTTTACCCACATCGATGTTTCGATGTTTTAAGGGGAAGAACATGGATTAATCGATTCATCAAACTTCTACTACAAGAATTCTCAAAAAGCTCTTATTGATGTTTAAACACAGGGAACTTCATTTTGATTTGTCATATTATTTAAAAAGCTTAAAAAATGTTTCAAAACAAACTATATTTTCACAAATTCAAAGAATGTAACAAAAACCAAAGAATGTATAACATACAATAATAAAAATTCAGCTGAGGAACACCGGGAATAAAACATCGATGTTTAAAAAAAGTATCATAAAAAGCTGATAAAACTATCAGAGTGTGGAAGAAAAAGATAATCAATATTGCAAATAAACAAATAAGTTAGCTATACATTCTTGTCAGTATATAACAAGAAAGGAATGCTAAAGTCGAGTACATGTACATATATTTGCATTTATCGATGCAGCGATGTATCGAAAAGCTTAACATCGATGTTTCGCCCAGCACTACTCATCTCTAACGAATTTAGAATGAGTTGGCAGCACCTGCTTTCTTTGACATTAACAAATTAGAAGGAATATACGTAATATTCTGAAATGCCTGGTTATAGGGGTAAAGGCACACGTAAAGATAAAGGCAAAACAGGAGTTGCTAGTGTTGAAGGTGAATGTGCTAGAGTTGACATGGAACTTAGTAATAATGAGATGGAGAGGGGCAAGGGAAAGAACGAGAGTGTTGGTGAAAATGGGTCGCAGAACGAAATGCCAGCTAGCATCGAAAAGAAAGCCGAAGCTCGTGCTGAAGTGCAATGCAAAAGAATCACTAAGGCTGATTTGGACATAGAAACAGACATGGCCTTCGTGGATAATGCGCTGAAGATGCTTAACATGAAAGCTGGTCCAGAGGTGCGAAATATGCTCTTGAACTTGGCGTACAGTAAGTCCCATATTTTTAAACATAATACAATGTCAAACTACTTCTTTGAATTTGTCGCTACTAGCTTTAACTCGAGATAAGATTTTGGAGGCGAAGAGCTTTGCTGCGTTGGCCAATAGGTCCGTTATTGATGTGAAGGACCTGGAAATAGCCAATATTGCCAAAACCAAGGACTACACCCATGGTCCCTACACCAAACCAGCATTAGTGAAGCCTGCGGAGCTGCCAAAACCATTGGGCTCGAATAGCATGTGGCTGCCACCATTACGCCATTGTCAGGTGGGCGATGAACTGGAATTGGAGGGCATGGAAAAGAAGAGGCCAGCTGAGAATAGGCTACCAAAGAAGAAGCCACATAACATTTTTATGCAGTAACTTCAAATACTTCGACTACAATATTGCAAATTTTAATTTTTAAAATGAAACATTTCAACAAATTCATTTTAAGCTTATATTATAATAATAAATCAATGTCTCCTCGTTCTGTTGATGAGAGACTAACTAAAATACTGAAAAATACTTAAAATCGGTACGACTTCATCAGTGAATGATAAAACTATCAGAGTTTGGAAGAAGAAGATAATCAATATTGCAAATAAACTAAGAACTTAGCTATACGGAAAGTTTCTACACACCTTGAACACCCATTGACGCTGTAAAATTGTAGTATTTCAGTATTGTTTTGGTACTTTTCTGTCTGGCCGTTCTACTCTACAGATGGGGAATAAAGGTACGCCAAAGCTTCAATTATATATGTATGTCGCTTAGAAATATAAATTACACCCATAATAATTAGTTTTATTAATGCACATAATTCGATTGCGAAGTCCGATCTACGAAATGTTTATATCATCTGTCGATATGTTAAATATTATTTGTTCGCGACTCCAAGAATTCAGATTAAACGGCATTAATAAGTTTACTAAAGTGAACAGCTTTCAACAGATATTTAGTTAAGCTGTGTGATAAAGGATTCTATAACTTATGAAGGTGTATTAACAATTTAGCTATTTTCTATTATTACGGAAAATAGTTCTAAAGGCATGTAGTAAACGCTTTTCCGTTTAAATTAGCGCACTTTACTTATTATTAGAAAATAAGACTGAATTGAAATTTTCAAATTTCAGCTCATTTCTAATGGCATGAGAAATGGACAACAACGATTTTCTACAAATCACAGATATAACAAATAGTGAGTCTTAGTGATTTCAGTCCGGACTGAACATCGATGTTATACATTCGATGATAAGTTTAATAATTACAAAGTTTTCTTATACATATCTTAATATTCCATTCATCAGTATTAAATTTTGTTAAGAATATTAATTTGGAGAATTAATTCGCCGCTGAAAAAACATTTCGGCTGGCATAGAAGTCCCAATTACAACAAGATACTTCTCGGCAATATGATTCATATGCGGAAAAGTCGTTTTAAGTATACATCATGTAAAATACGGTGGCAGTGTTCTTAAAATTGATTTTTCCATAAAAGTCGATCGAAACGTCGAATTCCCAAACATCGAGCTAAAATCGAAAACAATCGCTTACGTAAAAATCGATACATCGATGTATCGATGCACATTTACATCACTAGTTAGTTTTCAGCAACAAGATGTGACATGAAAAGATCGCTGGATAAAGCAATTGCTTTTAATATTTCTTTAAGCATATTTTTTGCAATAATTATATAATTTATGTATTCGTATAAAATATATTGAAATATTTTACTTAAGTTTCTCTTCATTACTATTGAAAGCATGCAAAGTGGCAGCATCTAGATTCCTTTTAAAGATGTTAATTGCTACTCTATTTTTGAGGCATCCTTAGCTTGGAAGTGCAAATGCATTATTAAGTCTGGTTGGGCGCTGGATGAATCGAAAATGAAATCAAATACGGAACAGGCCTGGGATTTTGAAAGAGTATAAGGACAAGACCAGCATCGCACAACAGTTGTCGTTTGGGTGATAAACGGGTGTTGAATTTACAACATCGACGATGAACGTAAAAATGCAGGACAAACGCAGTCACACACACCTAGAAACGCAAACAAACAAGCTCGCACACACTCACACATTCAGTTCAGTTCAGTTTAGTGGGGAAGGCTGGCAGGAGCGCAGCTTTAAAATGCCACTTAACTGCCATGAAATGCTTGTTAAGCGTTAAATGGCAAAGAAATATTTGGCAAATGCGGCGGGCGAGCCGGCGGCAAGTGGCAGAGTGGCAGGCAGCGAGTGGCAGTTGCATGGAATTGCAGCGAAATGTGCAAAGTGTTTGGGCGTTAACCATTGTCGAGGCCATAATTGCGGCACACAGACACACACACACACAGCCACGAACACTATGGCCAAGCGCCATTTTGTTATTATTACTTATCACACATACACACACGAACAGGGGCAAACAGGTTACTGTGTGTCCACAGGTGGCGCTTTAATTTGTGCCTTTTACGCGCGCTGGGAGCGCTGTCAGCAGCAACATCAGCATTGGCGGCAACAAAAACAACATTAACAGCACGGCTAAGTGAGCCACTATGCCACACCAACACACAAACACAAGCACACACACACACACTGACAACGTCAGCGGCACTTTGTCCCTTTGGGAGTAATTAACACTGCGTCGCATCGCGTCGCTGGGCGCGTCGTTGAGTAAACAATAAGACTGCCGCAGTTGTTAATTACGGTGCAACGCTGCAAGTGGGCGTGGCACACAGCAGAGCAGCCAAAGGAGGGCAGCTTAATAAATTGCTACGCATTTGCTGTCCAATAGCATGACAATCAAACGTTAATGCTAAAAGTTAAAACTTGTAAGCAAGTCGGTTCCAAAGTTCCAACACATTTATAGTTTCAGTTTAAGTTCTTTGTACTAAATAGAGCCAAATCAACGATAATTTCTTTAGTTTTTGCTTTCAATCTTTCCCCTTTTTGGAGCTTACATGCATTAGAAAAGCTTTTCTGAATTCCAGTACAATAATAGATGCAGTAAGATCCCAGTTATGTCGTTTGAGCAAAAATAAATACTTGTACATTTTTTGATTATCTTAATATATGTATGTTCTGCATATCTAAACAAATATTTCCTATTATTCAAAGTTATTCTAAGGGTTGCTTTTCCATTTTCTGTCATTAAAAAACGATCGTTTATTCTTTTTCCAGACTATCATAAAAAAATTATCGCCATCACATTTCCAGCCGAAATAACAGTCTTGGCATTTTTTTTTGGAGGCAGTTCCACCCACTTTTGATTAGGATTTTTTTTGCTAAAGTCTAATGGTGAATTCATGTTTAATTCTCAGTGACGATCTCAGATGTATCTCTTACCTTGATTCGTTGGCTGATAAATAATTCTCTATATATATAATATGGCGAAAAAGTTTAAAGATAAACTGTATTGTTAATTGGGACACCTTTTAGTTTTATAAAAATAAATAAATAAGTATTTGTTAACTAAACTAAATAGCTAGCTAGTTTTATTAAAGTTCAGCTACCTCAAAACATTGTTACTCATGAAACTGCCCTCGCTGGGTAGCACACGTCAATGTGTTGGTAAATGGCTGAATACCTTTACAGTCTGTCCATTATATTGAGTCAGTAGGCCAGTTTCGATGCTTTGTCCTTAAAACTGCCGCCAAAAGTTGTGCATTCGTCCATCCGTGTGGAAAATGCTCCTCAGCATGAAAACCTGCAGCATGCCGACAAGAATCATGGACGTGAACTGAACCATGGACCAATTGTTTACCATTCTGTTGTTGGACTCGGCCAAGTTGCGATCCCAGGCCTCATTGGCGCGTATGAAGTCCTGCGTCTGACGCGACCGCATCAAGTTCACATTAATCTTGCCTATATAGTTGTGCAGATCCGTGAAGGCGCGATCGAAATGGTAGTCTGTGTGCATTTCCTTGCGCAACTGCTCCAGCTCGCGACGCTCGAAGTCTGCAGCCGCCACCTCCAAGTGGAAGGTGATTATCTTGCGATTGAAGGAGCTGATGGTGTTGTCGAAGCACAACTTGTAGATGCCCGTCTCTTCGGCTGTAATATTGTGCTTGCCCCGATTTTGTTTCTGCTCCGTAATGAGCAGCACACGCTTGGGGTCCATCAGGTTAAAGTTCACATGCGCCTCACCATGTCCACCATCGATGACCTGATACTCGATCAAGATGTATTCGGTGGCAGCCACCGGATGATGATAGCACTCCATCCGTCCTGCCTCGGCAAACACAGTCAGTTGCGTTACGTACGGCTCAGCGCTGCCGGAGGATAACAGCAACAACAACAGCAGAAAGAGCATCAAGAGCGTTTCACGAGCGATTTGAAACATTTTGTCTGCTTGTATTAAACTCTAAACCCTACAATTTCAATGGAGTTTGATGTGAATGATAGAGAATTGACAGAATTGCCAGTAAAAATAAGCCATGCCTACTATTCACAAACGGATTGAAAAAAGAGACTGCCGCCACACAGTGGATACAAGCTATAAGCAAGGAAAGTCTGCATTTAGTTTACTTCGTACTATTTTTTTGCATTCTCGCTTATTAAAGTTAGGGAAGATTTCTCAAGATTTGTTCTTCTGATAAGTCGTTTCTGTAAAAAAAGATGCCTTTCTTTGACTTGCCAAAAAGTTCAGCTTACAATGCGACCCCAACTTGAAGAGCTATATTTATTTAATTAAAGTTCGGTTTCCATCAAAGCTTTCATATACGAGCATGAACAATTATTTTCGTTTTGAATTTAGAAATTTATTTTATTTCGCACTATTTTATTGCATTCCCGCCTATTAAAGTCAGGAAAGAACTCTCAAGATTAGTTCTTCTGATAAGTTGCAGAGATAAAGCACCCTAGAGCTGGGCACTGATCCTGCGTGCCTTGGAGTTTCTGTGGAAAGAGATGCCTTTCCTTGACTTGACAAAAAGTTCAGCTTATAAAGCGACCCCAACTTGAAGAGCTATATTTAATTAAAGTTCGCTTTCCATCTAAGCATGAACAATTATTTTCGTTTTGAATTTAGAAATTGGTAGCACTGTGAAACAGTTCCCATTGGCAATACATTCATGCAGCTTTTAATAGCTCCCTACTGCAATAGCAACAACGACAACAACATATGCATGAATTGCCGCTGTCGTCGACGCCGCCATCTGCTTTTCAGTTCCGATGCCGATCCTGATCTCCACAACTCCGTACCCGTACCCTTAGTACTCCTCCCCCGCACCCACACGCAGCCACAAACTAAAAGCAAAAGCATCAAAAGGAATATGAATTGAGGTCGATGTGTAAATATTTGTCAACGGTAATGGAAATTTATGCTGTGCCAGTGCCGTGCAGCAACTATGCCATGGCAAAGAGTTGGCGGCTGCGAGGACAGGTGCCTCTGCGGCTCTGGCTCTGTATGTGTGTGTGAGTGTCTGTGTGTATGTGTGTGTGTGTGTGTGTGCGTTGAAAAACGCGCGTCAAGCAGGCGCTTTCATTTTTTAAAACTGTTGGAAGAAATACAAATAAAACGAGAAAGAGGATTTTGCACGTGCAGTTTAGTAAAAAAAAATGAAAATAAAAAAACGCAAAAAATGCAACGTGCGCGCAAAGAAACTAAGCAAATAGACACACGAACACACACTCAACCACACACACCCACACATTCGCACGCATCCAGTTGTATTTGTTTGCACACGTGCAACGCTTTTCGGTGCTTGGTGTGTGCATAAAAAATTCAACTGTTCGCTACACTTCAGTCTGATATTTACCTACAACAAAAACAATAAAAAAAAAGAAGAGAAGGAAAACTGGTAAGCCACACATTCGACCCCCAAGCCGATCCGACCCCCAACCCCCACCCCACCCCCAACGACACCCTTGCACTTTTCACTGTCTGCAGACTAAATAGGAATAGAAAAACTTACATAGTGTAGTGAAGCGCGCGACGCCTGGGCCGGCGGCCAAAATACGCAGCCGAAGCATGAAAGCTGAAAATAACACAAAAAATGAAAATGCAGGGAAAAATGTTTGATGGCGGCCGTGGTTGAAGCTGGAGCTGGAGCTGATGCTGATGTTGACGCTGAGGTCGTGGCCAGGTGAGCGGGAGTGCAATTGAGTGCCATACGTGGAGATGGAGAAGGAAGCGGGGCTCGGGGGCACTCTTAGCCGTTTGGCAGCAGCTGCAACTATTGGAGTGTTATGTTGCTTTAGTTGATTGTTTGCCCGCAGCGACCCTTGTCTACTGAAAGCGCAGCGGTGTAGTGGCGCTTAGAAGATGTTGTTATTGCAGTGTTGGCAGATGATGGGCACATGGCCAGACAGCCAAGCAGTCACTCAGTTTGTCAGTCAGTCAGGTAGCCAATTCAATTTTATGAAATTAAGAAAATTGATGGCTGAATGCATTCTTTTTTTTATTTTTTTCTGTTTGCATTATTATTGCAGAAAGAAAATTGAGAGTGCAACTACAGCTTCATGTCACAATTCGAGATAAAATTGAAAAGCTTTTTTCAATTTGCAAGTACTAAGTAACTCTTATAAATAATTTACCATCACTTTAAAATAATGTCGTCCAGTTGGACTTTTGAATAATTTATTAGGAATTGTCATTCAACTATTTTTTTTGCCGACTTTTAATGTGTATTTTAAGCTTAAATACATTTTACCTGACACGCTATAGCCCGCCCAAAGCCCCCCCCCCCCCCCCCCCCCCACCCGTCAATAGCCTTTTATAATGCTAATTGCATATATTAACACCTTTAAATTGATTTATGTATATAGCTAGCTATATGTATGTCTAATGATTCGTACATTTTATTTATATATTTCATTCGCCACAAATAAAAAATTATTGTAACGCATATTAGATATTTTTTTAATTATTATAGGCTTTTTTATTTCAATAGTTTCAAGTTATCAATTTTATTGATTTCTTTCGTTGTTTTTACTTTGACAACTCTTTTTGTCCATGAAGTAAATAAATAAATATTTGTTCAAGTAATTCAAATAAATTTTGTAAATATACGTTTATAACAACACTGCTACAACAATAGGGAAATTAAGTCAGGATTAGGATAAGCTGAAGCACGATATTGGCCGAAGTTATATCGTCAATGCTACCCAAACCATAGCTGCTTTGCAGACAAGCTTCAATACTGCAGTGAGTTGCCAGCATAGAGAGTTTTTGGAATATTCCCTCCTCCTACAAAATATTTTCATATTCACAGCAACACGAAACCCAAGAAGCTGCTCAAAAATTTAATTGTAGCGAAGAGGGCATACATACGAGATGATAAAGTTATGAGCAAGATGAAAGTCAAGGTTACTTCCACTAGAATATTTTGGCTATGGCTTACAACAATATTTTTTCTTCTACGAGGAGCATAGACTTCATAGTTAAATGTTCAGCAAGCCACTGCAATAGCAACCATAGATTTATGAGCTTTAAGTATAGATCTCTGAACAATCGAGGGTATGGAAAAGTGTCATCGTCATTCATCGTTATTATTATTAATTTCTATATTATTTATTTATTATTGATTTACTATTGATTTATTATTTATTTATTATTTATTTATTATTTATTTATTATTTATTTATTATTTATTTATTATTTATTTATTATTTATTTATTATTTATTATTTATTTATTATTTATTTATTATTTATTTATTATTTATTTATTATTTATTTATTATTTATTTATTATTTATTATTTATTTATTTATTATTTATTTATTATTTATTTATTTATTATTTATTTATTATTTATTTATTATTTATTTATAATTTATTACTTTAAGTCAGGCATTGTGTTTAAGCTCGTGTTCATTTCTTAAACATATTGCACCACAACTTTGGTTAACTTACGATTCCGTACCTTGGAAATACTTTAAATAATGAAATAAAGCTGGAGTCTGCAGCTTATCGATGTTGCCTTGCCTCAAAATTTATGGCAATCTGACAAACTGGCAGCTGCCAGTGGTTTTTAGAACAGGAGGGGCAGGGATCAATGGAAATGCTGACTCAAAATCGAAGGTCAGCCACAAAAGCACTCATGAATTATTAAAAACGCACAATGGTGCGGCAAGCTGTTGGCCAGGATTGGCACTACTTGACCCTAATCCGAGCGGGCAAAATAAAACACAATACACAATATTTACAAAAAGAGGGGGCAGAGGGCAGGCAGGCAAGGAGGCAAGGAGACAGACAGGAAACAAAGTGCCACCTACCCACAACTCTTACTATGCTATACCAGAAATGTATATTAAGATTTTTAGTTCAATAATTGTGTAATGTAGCAAGAGCAGCGGCAATCACATCTACATCCGGAGGCACATCTTCGCCCGCAGACACATTTGTGTAAATGCTTAGCCAAATGGAACTAAATGCCAACTGTGCTGGCTGTACGGAGCCGTCTCTAGGATACCAGCGTAGGCGTTGAAGGCGTAGTGGGCGTTCTAGGCGCTGTCACCGCACACGCCCACCACAAAGAGCCAAATATGCACGAAGTAGGGCGACCACAAAACCCAAAAGATGTTTTGACAGCGTCTGTTATTTGCCTTTGGGCCAAGTTCAGACTTGAGCTTCAGCTCTGGACGCTTGGGGCGTTGACCAGCCGCCAGGCAAACATCTGGCGGCCCCAAGTATCACTTTAAATTAATGAACTGAGATTAAGCAAGACAAATTGTTGTTGTTGCTGCCGATGCTGCTGCCTCAAATTCTACAACAGCAAATTGTTTTTCATTCATATTTGCATCGGACAACGCCCTCCGGAATATATTAATTTGTATGCTCTGGGGCTGTCCTTGTCCTTCGTCCCTTGTCCTCAGCCCAAAAATAAATGTAAAATTTATTGATATTGATATTCATGCAAATATATTTGCTGGAAGGCCATTTGTATGTAATTAAAAATTTAAAATCAAAATAATGCCAATCAATGACCGAGCAGGCAAATCAAATGGAGAGGCGAGGCAAACCAACCATACTGAATAGTTTTAAAAACAATTTTTTCTGGTATATAAGAGAAAGGATGCGCTGACGAGCTTAAATTACGCAAAAGAAACTTTACATTTTTGTAGAGTTTTTTAATATATTAGCAACTAGCAAACACTCTGATGTTCAGCTTTTTTCTTGTCCTATTAGTGAATTTATTGTTTGTTTAAAAACCGTTCAACCGTACTTTATTTAATCCAAAACTAAAGGAGTGCTTCCAAAAGCACGTATTTAGTTCACAGTTTTTTTTAGCAAATGAGCTTTCTACAGTTCTGCCGCTTAGAGGCAGCTTTAAATTTGTTCTCGCTTTTCGATTCTAGACATGCTGCTATGAAGTTATATTTAATTGAATTGATTTCG